CTCTTGGATTTCCAATAAGTCTCTTGAGAACAATCCTCTCAAAAGATACCTCTTGTTTCCAACAATGGACAACAAGGAACAAAAGTAATCTAATACTTAATTCCAACAATCCTGGAAATAAGTTACACTTTGTATAATTTTATGAAGTATGATTTCTTGAAAGATGTTGATCACATAGAGTGACTTCTTTGAAGTTTCTTCTTTCTTCTCTTGTAAGCAATTCTAACTGTAACACAATGGTTAGATAATGCTCAAAGATTTCTGTTCTTATTTGTGTGAAAGTGCAGAAAATCTTTGTTCTTAAAAGTTAAGAAATATGAAGTTTGAATATTTTACAAAGTTCAGAATTATTGCATAAGAGAAGAGTTGTTTATGATTTGAAATATTTTGTATTTAAAGTAATCAAGATATCTTTCCAAATGGACACTTTTCTGTTTGAAAAACTTGAGAGGATGCAATGTATGACCATGCATCTATTGGAGAAAAGGTGTGAAGGATATCTTGAAACCAGTTCAGATTTTTCAAAATTTACAATGTGTAAATCGATTAACATAAGATGTAAATCGATTGCACGGGTTTGTAACGTTCATGTTTTCAAAAAATTTGAAGTGTAAATCGATTAGCATGTTGTGTAAATCGATTTACAAGAGTTAAAAATTCACATTGTTCCGTGATCAATCGATTTACACTTCATGTAAATCGATTGCTGGCAGAGACAATCAGTTTTTGAAAAAGCATGTGTAAATCGATTTACACAAGATGTTAATCGATTTACAGCAGAGAAAAACTTAGAATTTGTTTTTAAATTTAAGTGAAGTGTTGTGGCAACTGTGTATATCATTTTTGAGCATTTCTAATCAATGTAGTTCAAATGAGAATTGATATACTTGATTGCTTGCCATGATCCTTGAAGCTTTGAGTGAATGATGCTTTAAGCTAATTTCCACTTCTTTTCCTTCTTGCCATAGAGCTTGTTTGTCTTTCATCAAACTAGCTTGTTTGTCTTTCATCAAAATTAAAGTTGAGTTGAGGCTTGAGATTACAGGGTATAGGTTATAAATAAAACCTTTGTAACCTAGGATTGGTACCATCCGAAATTAGAAAAGATGTAATCATTAGGGATTAGTCTGTACTACTCTCTAAGAGAGTTGGTTGTGTAATCCACTCGGGTTATGAGCAGGATTTTTTGTAGAGTTGTAAGTCTCTATTATTGTTCTCCTTGAAGCTTTTAATCAAGAGTGAGTATTTTTCTTGGAGAAAGCTACTAAGCAACTCTAAGTATTATTATTGATCAAAGCTGTGAAGAAAGATCAAGTATGTTGTTTTTAATCAAGGGGTGTCTTGATTAAGGTGTTTGGTTTGTATTTGAAGTGTGATCTTCATGTAGGTGAAAGGCTGTGGATACAAGAAGTGGGTCTGGGACTGTTAGACATCACTGCCGTAATTAGAAGTGAATGGGTATACTCATATCTAGGAGTTCCTAGGTAGAAGTTTCATTGGATATGGATTAAGTGATAAGTTATAAACGGGGGAGTTTAGCTTTGAATTAGTACTACTGATAATGGATTTTTTTCTTGGCTTGGAAGCCCCTAGAGTAGGTGTTGTTGTCACCAAACTGGGTTAACAATTCTTGTGTTGTTTATGCTTTTCAGTACTGTTTTATATTGTTTATGACTTGCCATGTTGTTTTTGTCAGAACAGATGTCTTGACATCCTATAGGACATCTGAGTTCTGACCTACCAGAATTTTAGAGGTCGAAGTGAGGAAACCCCGGGTGCTGCAGATCGACAACAAGTCATCCACAAATCTTACAAAGAATCCAATTCTGCATGGGAGGAGTAAACACATCGAATCTAGATTTAACTTCTTAAGGGGGAGGTAAATAAAGGTGAACTTGAGGTGGGGCATTGCTAAAGCGAACTAGAATTGGTCGACATTCTCACCAAAGGATTGAAGATCGATATATTTCTAAATTTGAGAAAGAAATTAGAAATAGTTTAGATCGGCTATGATTATTTTGTATTCGACAAATTGGATTAAAAGGGAGTATGTTGAGATATAATCTAAGTTAGTTACTTGATTAGAAAGTTAAGTAGCGCAAACCCAAGTTAATTAGGATTTGGGTTTGTTATGTTAGTTACTTAGTATACAAGTCACTTAGTCGTATATAAATATATATTAAAATCTAATTTTTATTATCATTTTTTCAATAATACAATTCTTCCCATCCTCTCCATCTTTATCTCCTCACTAAAAGTGCCTCACACACTAACAGTTTAAGGTTTGTTGTTGATGAATGTCATTGTTAATGTTTGTTTAGAAGATGGTTTGAGTGTTTTTCCAATTTAGATTATTATATCTTATGTGATTTGAGTATTTTTCCAACCCCTTACCGAATATATAACTTTTTAGATTGCATTATAAAATTATAATATGATATATAAATTAAAGGTTACACCATTTAATGGTAAATAAGAATTCTTCAACTCATTGTCTGCATTTTACTCTTTAACCGTTAGAACTTGGTTTAATGCCTCTAGTTCTTCAACCGCTCCTTTCTCCACTTCTAATTTCGTTTCAAAGTACTCTCTCTGGTCTTATTTATAAGCAAAATTTCTCTTTTTAGGTTTATTGAGTAATGAATGTATATGGTCTACATAAAAAACCAGATACATTCATTATTCAATAAATCTAAAAAGAAAATATTTTCGTATAATAATGGCCAGAGGAGTAAATAATATTTTGCATAATGAACTAGAGGTGAAAAAATTGAAGGTTGAAGAACTAGGAGCATTAAATCAAGTTCTAACCATTAAAGAATAAAATGTGGATAAGGACTGGAGCATTTGTCAAGCATTGAACAATACAACGTGTTCTTCTAATATAACTTAATTTATCATATTATAATACTTCACATTAGATTGAAAGGTTATATTAGTGAGCATTAGCAAAATAAGTATTCCACATAATTTGTAAAAACACTACAAAAAAAAAATAGTATGCAACCTTGTGATATTTACGAGACAATCCCAAAAACCTCAACACACAAATAATTAGTGACGTGTTAAAATCACGAGGCATGAGTGCTTATGGAAAATGATTGTCACGTGATATTCACGACACAAATTTGTGACGTAATATTCACGACGCAAAGTCTTTAACAACCTGCATATGAGTCAGCATGTTGCAGAATAATTTTCCACATGAAATTCACGCCACAAATTTAAGGCGTAATATTCACGACACTATATTTAAATATAGATATACTGTTTAAAAAAAAAATTAATATTACTTTTTTGTTTTAAAATATTAAGTGGATACTATTTTAATATATATATATATATATATATATATATATATATATATATATATATATATATATATATATATATATATATATATATATATATATATATATATATATATATATATATATATATATATATATATATATATATATATATATATATATATATATATATATATATATATATATATATATATATATATATATATATATATATATATATATATTGTTTTCAATTTTAAAAATATAAAAAATAATTTATAAAAATAAATTATTCAGTTTTAAAAAATGTATATTCATTCAGTTTTTAACTAAAAAAATAATAAAGAAAATATATTATATACTATTATTTAATATATATTACGTTTTTATAATGAAATACTTAATAAACAAATTTATTAAAAAAACATCATATTGATTTATGTTTTTAAATATAGATATATACAAATATATATTTTCAGATTTTAAACATTTACAAAATAAAATATTATATTTGCAAATTTTAAAATAAAAAAATATTAGATATATTTTTATATTATATTTTTTTGTATTTTCGGATTTTAAAAATATTTATTTTTCTATTCATAAAAATTATATTAACTACTTCCAAGGTATTGTTTTTGGAATTTATTTTTATATTATATTTTTTATATTTTCGTATTTTTAAAATAATTTTTTTCCTATTCTTAAAAATTATATTAACTACTTCTAAGTTATTTTTTTTAGAATTTATTTTTATATTATATTTTTTAATTTTTAAAATAAAATAAAATTATTAACCTATTTATAAATTACAACAATATATATATATATATATATATATATATATATATATATATATATATATATATATATATATATATATATATATATATATATATATATATATATATATATATATATATATATATATATATATAAATAAAAAATAAAACATGATTCTTGAATAAATTCTTTAATCTTGCTTTTGATCTACCTCTTAATAACTTCATCAACAAAAAAATGAAATAAGAAATAAAACAAAACTTGTTAAAATATTATACAAAACAAAAATGAAAATTTTATACCTTTAACTTTTTGATGTTGAAAGTTTAAAGAAATTGATGAGGAATGGTAAAATATTTGAAGAGAAATGGTATGAATTGATGAGAAGAAGAAAAAATGGTGAGAGACGTTAAAAGGAAGAAATGATTATGAAAGGCGATTATATCTGGGTGATATAAAAGAGATTTATCGTTGTGATAATCACGATGCAAAGTAACAGTCAGATATTTGTTTATGTTGTGATAATTTCGACGTAAAGTAACAGTCATATATTTATTTCTGTCGTGATAATTACGACGTAAAGTAACAGTCAGAAAACAACGTTGTGATTATCACGTGATAAACGTTCCCCCAAACAACACATGAGTCCCTTTTACTTTCCCCAGTCTACGTGTCAGTCAAATTTCATTTTTCAATAAGCTTTTATTTTGCCTCGTGATATAAACGACACTAACAATTTTCGAAAAATTCAAATTTTCCACCACATAAAAAGCTAAAATATTTGTTTTTATTATTTTTATTTTTTAAGTTGCGTCCTGATATACACGACACTACAATTTTTTCAAAAATATTCTCTCTTCCCTTCATATGGAAAGTTGAACATCATTTTTTTTATTAATTTAAAATATTTGTGTCGTGATAATCACGATGCAACCTCCCTTTTTTGCGTCGTGGTATTCACATGACAGAAGTAAGGATTTCTTGTAGTATAAATTCGGTGTATATATCACAACTATTGTTTAAAACAACCGGTGTAAAATATTATGCATTAAGAATATCCCAACAGTTGTTTAAAACAACCTTTATGATATGTAGTATACTATGATTTTTTAGTTTATTGAACAAAGGAAAGGGTACTCCCTAGTCTGCTTGAAAATGATGAACCATTCTTATTAGAAAACTTCATACAAACATGTAACGGCTCAACCCATTCATACGATAGATAAAGTGTCGGTAAAAGCATAATTGTCTCTCAAGCGCCAGCTGTCCACGTTTTATGTGGACTCCACGTTCTTTTCCTTCAATAAATTCTCCCTCCCACACCCTCTCAATTCCACAATTTTCCACTCTTTTCATCTTTAAATTTCTCTACAAATTTACATACTTTTGCAATCGCATCATCACCAGCTACTACAATGAAGTTTCTTTCCTTCTTTTTCATCCTCGTCTTGGCCGCTGTAGCCTCTGCTCAAGACCTCAGTCCCTCGTTGGCTCCAGCTCCTGGTCCTGATACAGGAGCTGCTGGATCTGTTGCGAATTCAGTTGCTATGATCGGAGCATCCATCGTCCTCTCAATGCTCGCCATCTTCAAGCACTAAAATCATGATTTCACTTATTTTGTTGCACTTTTAGCGTCTAGTGATGATCTATTCTGTTACTATTACTAGATTTTAAGAGTGTTGTTTTATATTTAATTATTTATTGTAGGTGTTAAGATAAATAAAGAGGGGTTTTATTATCTTTGTCTAGTTATTATTAATGTTTCGTTACTGTTATTCTTTTTGGTTCTAATTATAAAAATAAAAAATATTAGTTAAAAAATTTTTGTCCTTCAACAAGAATCGAACCATAGATATATTATCTGCAGTGAACGCTTCTTACCACTAGACCAATGCATTTTCTTTGTTATATTTTGGTTTGAATAGGTATAAAACTTGAAGAGGTTGGTGACTTATGTAATTGTGAAAATGAGAAACTTCTGCTTTTCTATCCAACATTCTGATTCTGGTAATTACAAAGGGTTTAAAATTAGGTGAGCTAAAGTAATCCTAAACCAAATGTTAGATACATAAATATTAACACTGATATCATAAATAAAATTAGATGTGTAATATAAGACCTTTTATTTCAATGGGAACCCTTCTTCATCTCAAGACTAGTATTCCCAGAAACAGAAACTGAGACAGACACAACTTCTTCTATCGCCTCTGACATTTTCAGTTTATTTAGAGACCTTTTTGCATAAACAGTAAAGCCAACAATGGTAATAACGGCAATGATGAAAGAAATAATGTTGTATATGATTTCCACTGTCGTCAGGCGGTGCTTCCCATACTGTGCATCAGCTAAAGTCTTTATTAATCTACCACTGCACAATATGGACAACCGTTAACAATGAGAAGCTGCAACTTTCTAAATAAACATTCTGTAAAGATTAAATAAAAAAGAATAAACCTGTAGATGTAGAGAAAAGCTTCTGGTACCATTCCTGCTATTGATCCGGATAAGTAGGGCCAAAACTTCATATCTGTCACTACTACAACATAGTTGAATATAGTATACGGAAAAGGCGAAACTCGAAATAGAGCAACTACTTGAAATTGATGGAACCAGCTTCCTTCCCCGGCAAGTCTAATCATTGCTGCGTTCTGGGGCCATTTCTCTAACCATTGCTGAACAACAAGAAGATTAAAAAAAAAAGTTCGTAAAGCGACAGTAAGAACTACTAGAAATATAAAAATTCAACAAATTTAGAGGACTAGACTTGTGGTGTGGAATGAAATGACTTACATGAACGCGGTTACGGAACTTTAGTCCAATCAGGTAAGGGAGGACCATCCCAATGGTTGTCCCAACCATTATTATAACAAAGCCAAGGCCATAACCAAAAATCATCCCAGCCAACCACATGGAAGGACCGGAAGGGATTAATAATGCTGGAAATAAAGCCAGAGAAGCAATAAGCACAAGGGCAAGAACTGGTCGGCCAAAGGCAGTCGCTTCCCACTCCATCACTGGATAAAGAACCTACAATAAAAATGTCAATGTTCACAATTACATAAGTCACCAACCTCTTCAAGTTTTATACCTATTCAAACCAAAATATAACAAAGAAAATGCATTGGTCTAGTGGTAAGAAGTGTTCGTTGCAGACAGTATGTCCACGGTTCGATTCTTGTGGAAGGACAAAATTTTTTTAACTTTGAATTAACACTCAATTAATAAAATATTAATATAAATGCCATGTGGAATTAAAAATTAAAAATAAATTAAAAATGACAACTAATCAAGCCATGTCATTAAAATAATAATAAAAATATAACAAAAATATAAGCCACATCAGCTTTTTAGGTGATGTGGCATCCTCAAGGTAAAAACTGAAACTTTTAAAATTTGTCAAGGTAACAATTGGAACTTTTTTTTTTGCAGGGGGTTTTTCAAATACACCCCATATGTCAGGGGTGAAAATAGGTATTAACCCAAAATATTAAAACTAATTAAATTATTTATTATTATTTTAGAGGTTATAAGTTGGATTAAAGATGTCGGAATCACAACTATTCAAATTGTCGGTCCAATCACAACCATTCAAATAACATAAATTATATGCATATGAGTAACATAAACTATACGTATAACATAATATATATAACACATAATATTAATACAAATAACATAAGTCATAAAAATATGTCATTAACATAAGTCATAACAAAAATCATTGTGAAAGAGAAATATGTAACGCCTCAAATAATTATGTAAATTGTGGATCATCCGCCTCAGCCCCAATTTTTTGGAGGTAACGATGTAACAAGACAGAAACATGAAGGTTAGGATCAGATGGCCTTGTTTCATACTCAGGAACTGACACCTCTCTTGGTGTACTCCGAGGCTGCGGTACTAATCGAGGGTGTGGCACACGATAATACCAATCCAAATAATCAGGACCAATCTCTGATGCAAAGGTGGCCTATAATGTTGAACGAACCACCTCAGTGACACTCTCATCGTAGCTAATCCAGTCAACATCAACATCAAGATCAGTAATAGCAGGAGGTAAGGGTGGAATATACTATCTCATTCCAAACTTCCATAAACATCTATCAGGCAAGTAGAGAACAACAGTACCTCCCAACTATAGGCCCCCTCGGTACAGACTAATATCATCAAACACATGCCACTCTCTATGATCCTCGAATGGACACCATATGACATCAACGGGTGTCAACACATCCAAAATAGACCGCAAAGCATCCACCTTCATGGCTCCTTGCTTGTACGACTATGTCATCACTCTAGGAAATCCATGGTTGTCAGATGGTGTCTAATTTTCTTCCTTTCTTCCAAGCGTCAAAAAATACTCGTGAATCTAGTACTGTTTCAATGTCAACAATTTTAATTTAAAAAAAATACTACATCAGTATAATAAACTATTTAATAAATACATTTAATAAATACTTGAAGAAGAGTGGGATATCCAACAAGTTTTTGCAACCAAACACACATGCATCTCCAAGAGCATCGTATAAGGTAACCAATGCAATTGATCCCCAACTATAACGGTAAAGACCATTCAAGTCCCTGAATAACAACATATATTTTTCCTCGATAAGCATAAATGTCTTGTAAGCAAAAATAGTGCAACCAACCAACAACATCAGATATGATATGGTCGCATATGCCCAAGAAGAAGCAGCTCGATGCTCTTCAAATAAATCATACAACCACTCCAACTTATAGTTGGCACCTCTGCATGCTCGAATCTGACTCATTGCAATCGACCTTGAAACTCCTAAGTAGTCAACATCAAGATCAGCAGTAAAATCTTATATGACGTGCTCAGGACTCTGAAAGATACCCCAGTGAAGAAGACACGCAACATCATCGAGAGTAATCGTCATCTCACCATATGGCATGTGAAATTAAGATGTCTCAGAATTCCATTTCTCTACAAAAGCTGAAACCAGGTTCGGGTCTATCTTCGACAAACTAGTTCTTTGAAGCGAAGTTAGACCAGATAGTTTCACCCAATACTCAATCTCTTTGAGGAGTTGCTGCAGAACCCAATTCTGCAGCTTCAGCCCATGTGCAACACATTTAAGCTCTTTCTTCGCACCTCTCTCCCGAAAACAAAAATAAACATATTAATAAACACGAATAAACATTATAAATTTTTTTAACATAAATTTTTCATTTACTTACCTGCCTATACCATAGACATCGAGCACAATGATGCTCGTATCTAACTAGGAGAGATAAGTCAGACGATCCTTTTGGATATCCTTCAGGATCTTGTGGAGGCTGTGAAGCGGATCCAGATGCACCATCATGCTCTACGTGCTCTACCTCCATCTGAATGATTTTTTCGTGCCTACGAGAAAGCTTACTGTCAGAACCTAATGTGCGCATTCTAAAAAGCAAAAAAAAGAGGTTAAAAAAACAAAAACCAAACCGAAACACATCTTGAAAGTGTTCCGGTATACACATCGTGTAAAATTTCAGAAGACTTCTAAAAAGTGTTTCAGTGTGTTATAATTTAAACCGAAATAGTTTTCAAAAGTGTTATGAAATTATAACTCAAATCGGAACACTTCCAAAAAGTGTTCGGGTGAAGAAATTTTTTCGGAAGAGTTACAAAAAGTGTTCCGGTTTGCTATAATTTTCAGAAGACTTATCTAAAGTGTTTCAGTGTTCTAGTTTGTGAATCGGAAGACTTGATAAAAATGTTTCAGGATGTATTCTGATTTATAGTTTTTCAGAAGAGTTTGTGAACGTGAAAGTGAGAAATTAATTTTTTTAAAGTTATACTATTTATATGAAGGATATTTTTGTCCAAAAAATTCAAATATAAGGATACATGTATAAAAGTAAGTAGGGGTACGAAATAAAATTTTCTTTTTTTCTCACCCTTATACATTCTCACATATTAAAAGAGGCCTTAAAAAAGTGTGTAAGAAATATTATTTGCTCTATTCTAGATCATCTTAAGGCCCATCAACTTAAACTAAATATTCAAATAATTTTTTGTCACCCTTATATCGTCTCATAAATTTTTGCTGAAAATTTAAAAATACAATCAATTTTTAAGAATGCATCTCTGAACGCATTCATTTCTCACAAAATTAAACGCATACGAGTGAGTCATTCTATTATAATTAATTTCGAAGATGCATCTCTAGATAAATCATATATTTTTTTACGAAAAATACATATCCGTAAAGTTTCGTGTTGTTTTTTTAATTTGTATCTGGTTAGACATACCAAGTATTCATGCATCAACAATACAACAAACATACATATATATATATATATATATATATATATATATATATATATATATATATATATATATATATATATATATATATATATATATATATATATATATATATATATATATATATATATATATATATATATATATATATATATATATATATATATATATATATATATATACCAACAATATCCCTATTAAGAAAAACAATCAGAAAAAAGAAAAATAATTAAAATAAAATTATAACAAATCTAAATATACACCTAAAAATCAAATAAAGTGTCTACAAATATTTTTAAATTTTTTTCGAAAATATGAAAACAGAAAATAAATCAAACAAAGAAGAAAAACAAAGAATATATGATTTTTAGGATAGTAACCCATATTTTGTCCCAAAATAGGGAACTTTGATCCTTGATTTGTTTGTGATGAAATGACATAGTGAAATTTCGATTTTCAGTTGATTTTTTAATAAACCAAGTTTTTTATGCTAGATCGCGTAAATTAAAGACTTTGGCAGTTATCAAAGTAGTTTTGTTATCAGTTTGATTAGTGAATTAAGTCCTCGTTGGAGAGAGGAGAAATCACCTTGGCGGGTGGACTAGAGTAGTTTAAGATCAAACGAACCAGGATAAAAATCATTGTGTCATTTGCATTGATTTTTAAAGTTACAATTCAACCCCCCCTTCTTGTGTTTTTCACTTCTTCAGCCCATACAATTGATCCCAACTTTAATCACACCTCACTTTTCTTTTGGGAAGGTTCGACCAACACTTTCCAACTTCCTTGTGGGATGTTGACACTTACCATGTTTGACGTAGTAGCCATCACTGGGCTTTCTCCGTTGGGTATGACTTTTAACCCATCTGTGTTGACAAAACACACATTTTTCTTCGACCAATCAGATTTATCCAACTACATTACTAATCATCGTCTTGTGGGTACCAACGATGTCTCCGACACAGAACATATAGCCTTTCTAACCCTCTAGCTTTCCCATTTCTTGTTTTGCAATAAATCCTTTACCACTACTCAGGATTTCATACCTCTGGCGATTCAACTTCATGAGGGAAAAAACATCTTGCTGGGCAAGCTTTTGCTGGCGACTCTTTACCAAACTCTGGGAAATGCTTCTATGCAGATGAAGGCACTCCATGATCATGAATGTGGCTTCACTCTTTTATGGCCCTTTTGGCTTCTGCAACACTGGTTAAGTGCCACGTTCGAATTTCAACTAGGTTATCCTGTTTCCAAAAAAAATATGCGTCTTAACAAAGTTAGAGTCATCGAAGGTCTGAGGCTATCCTTGACCACTCCCCTCCAGAAACTTGATCAATTTGTGTTCATGAATTATATCAATATTTTCTTCGAAACAAAGACATTTGTCTCAGGCATGGCCCCCTTTTTGGAATTCCGATTTGTTCCAGACTGGTTTCGAGAACCTTTTCCAAATACCTCTCTAAATGCTGCTCGTATAAATGCCATCTGGAGGGCCTTTCTAACACTCATATTTCTTTCTTGTTGAATTAGTCCTGGCTCGACAGGGAATGGTTTCATGGGTTACCAAATTAACTTAGTCTCTCGAGAGTTAGGTCTCAGCCAAATGTTTCCTTCATCCTTGTTCTACCGCTGCGCTGATATCGTCTGGGTGGGTAGACACCTTACTGCTGAGGAACATAGGGCTTACCTTGGATTCCATCGGGCCACTGAAAATTTTGAACTTCCAGCGTTCGAC